ACACACACACACACACACACACACACACACACACACACGATTACCAACAAATGTACATGATTAGGGAGAAAATTAAAGTTTCCATTTTCAAAAGATGCCTGCTGGCCCAGTATTAAATAAGAATCAGAACACTGAACCACATCATATATTTATTCTAAGAACTATACTTCAAACACACAACATTTAATGTTACAGTCTCTCCATTACTGCAACTGACTGGCATAAAATAAATCACTGTTAAAAATAAAAGCAATTCTTAAGATTTCCAAAATCAAAGTACTTACCAAAGGAAAAAAGATGAGTTACAGGAAGCTGAATGGTTCTCGTCTCTTTTTTAAAGAATTCACAATCCACAACAAACTAAAATATAAAATATTGATTTATTAGAAAAAAATAGAATTAAATTTATAGTCAAATATCTTCACTTGATGTTTAAGTGGAAAATAAAAGTCTATAAACTAGCTTTGCAGAAGTTATTACCTATCACATTCTAACTCTGGCTATACTTAGATGGCCAACAATTACTCAAGGAGGGATACTAAACTAACAAAATCTGATGCACTATCTTAATTTCATAGACAAATTATTGGAGGATCATTTGTGTAACAGCTGATGTATAGCAGTTTTCTTCAGGTTACTTTTAGGTGTTCATAGAAGAAGGACTTTAAAGGATGGATCAAAGCATTAAGAACCAAGGTTAACTCAAGATTAATTAGAGATTTAAATAAAAATCTCTGAATACTTTCAAAGTCAAAAAGAAATGATTTTGTTACATTTACTTTTGTAAAAATCCCATATTTATTATGTATCTACAACACTTTAATTAGACTACAAAAGACTTGGAGACAGATATACTACCATTCATCTACCAATCATTAACGCTATTTGTATGATTATTTCAGGTTAAACAGTGATTGGAATAAATGGAAAAAAAGGTTTAGTATGTATAAAGCAAGAAAAAGAAATGCTATCTTGGGGCACCTGGGTGGTTCAGTTGGTTAAAAGTGTCTAGCTCTTGATTTCAGCTCTGGTATGATCTCATGGTTCAGTTCATGGGATGGAGCCCCGTGTAGGGCTGTGCACTGACAGCATGGTGCCTGCTTGGGATTCTCTCTCTCCCTCTCTCTGCCCCTCCCCTGCTTGTACACTCTCTCTGTCTCAAAATAAATAAACTTTTTTTTTTTTAAGTTTAAAAACTTGAGAGAATCCCAAGTAGGCTCTGTGTGCTATTAGCAAAAACCCCGATGTGGGGTTCGAGCCCATGAACCATGCAGGAGATCATGATACAAGTCAAAATCAAGAGTCAGACACTCAACCAACTGAGCCAGAGGTGCCCCTAAATATACCAAAAAAGATGCCATCTCAAAAAAAGTAAAATTAAAATGTTACATTGGCATGATTACAAATTTTTGTAATGGCATTTCTTTTGTAATAACATTTCTATAACAGCATAAAGGAACTTTGCCCTAAGCTGTCTGCAATTAGAATGTTATCATTAAAATAATTTCCAAAAGGAAACCAAATTTTTTTGGTCTATAGGAGCCAAAGAAAAAAATTAATCTGATGCTTAATTGTAGTGAGCAAGTAGTTTGCTGTTGATAGGAAGTAGAAAGCCAGTGAGGTTTATCCTAGGGTTTTCCAGTAAGTGCACCTTGGATTGTGCTTGAAGCTCAATAGATTGTTATTTTGTTTGCCTCTTAGGTGGATTTTTTGTTTCTGAAAGTGAAAAGCAGATGTGGGAAAATGCTATTTGACTACAGTGCACACAAGGGAATAAAAGGAAATACTTGTCAAGGGGCTTTGCTTCATTCCCTGCTTCTATCCTTACATGGCCAAGAATACCATCAGACACTTTCCTTATAGAAAACCACCGTTACAAGGTTAGGGCAATCATTTACTGAATAGGATTATTCATCTTATTTTTAACAAAGCATTTTTAGTGAGACATTGCCTCAGAGAACCATTTTAACTTTATAATTTTTTAAGTTTGTTTATTTTGAGCGAGAGCGCATGCGAGAGAGGGAGGGGCAGAGACAAATGGAGAGGGAGAGAATCCCAAACAGGCTCTGAGCTGACAGTCCAGAGCCTGATGTGGGGCTTGATCTCACTAACTGTGAGATTATGACCTGAGTCAAAATCAAGAATCTGACATTCAACCAACTGAGCCACCCAGGGACTCCAACAGAGAATTTTAAATCACTTTGTACGGGTATTTAAAATATGGGGCGCCTGGGTGGCTCAGTCGGTTAAGCATCTGACTTCGGCTCAGGTCATGATCTCACGGACTGTGAGTTCGAGCCCCGCGTCGGGCTCTGTGCTGACGGCTCGGAGCCCGGAGCCTGCTTCGGATTCTGTGTCTCCCTCTCTCTCTGCCCCTCCCCTGTTCATGCTCTGTCTCTGTCTCAAAAATAAATAAACATTAAAAAAAAAAAATTTTAAATAATATAATTTTTATTGTTGCTTTAAAAATTTGGCTATGCCCTTTAAGATGGAATAAACCCATACCCAAGAAAAGAATTCAAGGTTCTCTTTCTAATGAACTTAATTATTTGTTTTCTGTCATCAAAAAAATGTAATTCCATATTTATATATTGAAAATTGTATTATCAGTTGACTGAAAAATAAATTCAAACTATTTAAATATATGTATCCTTCTGATGATGGGTTATAACAGATATAGAGAAATTATGAAAGGCCTAAATTAACATTTTATAAGACTGGGTGTGTAACAGTACAGTCAGCAAGTGGTACTTTCCAAAGAGCATTAAGACATATTAAATATTCATTAGGCTGCTAAGGCTGCCTATTTGTGAAAGGCTCATTCATTTCTTGGAATAACCAGAGACGGCCTTTCCAAGTTTGGGAAAGATGTTTAATTCATTCAAAACCAACTTACCTGACAGAAAACCCCCTAAAGAGAGCTTTTAGAATTGAAGATGTTGAATTATCTCTCACTTGAGCTAAGCAAAACAAAACAATCAATTATAAGGTACTTCTAGATTCAGTCTTTGAGTTAATCTCTGACTACATCCCCTTTTCCTTTATCTTTAAAATTTTCCTAATGATTTTGGCCTCAAATCTCTACAATTTTCTCATTCAAAAAACATTTTTTGAGCATTTATATGGTAGTGAGTTGCTAAAGGTTGAGGATGCTGAGTAGAATAAAATCTATCTGGTCTTAGTCTCAAAGAATTCACAATATGGTGGTGGGAATAGAGACATAAATTATAATTCAGTGTAATAAATCCCTCAAAGTTAAAGTGTCATGGAAGCAAGAGGTTGCCTAAAGGAGTCATGAAATGGAAAACAGGGGACACTTAAGCTAGATTTTGAAGGATAAATTTGTTGGGTGAAATATGGAAAGGGGAATAGAGGGTCTTTTACCTTCATTTTCTTGCTTCTCCCTCCCCCAACTTCTCTTAAAAATCACCATCTCTACCAAGTGGGAGCATTTCTATTCCCACTTCCATATTTCAAGTCCTCATAACCCCTTATGAAGTATCTTGTCTGTTTCTAATCCATCATATTATAGATTCATCTTCCAAAACGGCTGATTCCATTTCTGAAAACCTTTCAGCTGTCTACTAACTCGTGAATTCTATAAAGTCCTGAATCTTCCAATCAAAGTCCTCCACAATATGGCCATGGACTACTTTCCCAGACTTTTCTTCCACCACTATTCTACCCATGGTGGCCAACTTTTTAAAATTACTGTTTACTTATTCATTGTTTTCCAAACATCCTACACTTTCACACTTGCATACTTGGATCTATTCCTTTGACCCAGCAGTGCTGGTCATTATAACTTTCTGCAATGATGTTACTATTGAGCACCTGGAATGTGGCTAGTACAACCAAGGAAATGAATTTTTTATTTTATTTAGTTTTGTTTTTGAATTAAATAGCCACATGTGATCATAACACCCATACTGGATAGCACAGGTCTACAATGTTCATTCTACCCATAAAAATCTTAACTATCCTTTAAGGCATTTTACTTTATTATTTAAAAATCTTTTTTTCATTTTTATTTATTTGAGGGGGAGAGAGAGAGAGAGAGAGAGAGAGAGCGAGTGCACGCAAGCAGGGGAGAGGTGCAGAGGAAGAGAGAGAAAGAAAATCCCAAGCAGGCTCCATATTCAGCCCAGAGCCTGAGGCAGTGCTCGATCCCACGATCTGAGACAAAATCAAGAGTCGGATGGTCAACTGACTGAGACACCCAGGCACCCCAGGGCAATTTTAAATATCACTTCATAATAAAGCGTTTCTTCATTCCATCATTCAGAGATAGCTCCCCTTCTTATACTTATTTATTTACTATATTCTGATTTGTATTATATTTTTGGGTATCTCACTCTTCCCTCTGCTTCCAAATGTTTCTCTCCCCTACCCAACAGTACGTAGCTTTTTGAGAATAAGATTGATTTGTGGGCCTCCTATAATTCCTGGCAGAGTCTTAACATAAAAGGGTACTCAATAATGAATAGATTTTGAAAGAATAATATATAAATTAAGTTCCCACTTTGAACACAGAGACTTAGGTTTATTCTACTTAGTTCATGTTAGAATAGATGATCCTATGATTTAACAGTCTTAGGTGGATCACTGAACTAGCCACTGTTTTAGATAAGCATTACACTAATGAAGTCATCAAAAAATAACTTAAATATTTAGCATGAGTATCCATAAAACATTGATAATAACCTTAATCCATTTGTTACCTTACTTCCATGAATAGATGGTACATAAACCACAAGATGAGACAAAGAAGGATAGTCTTGAAGTCTTAATGTCAGAGACTAAAAAAAAAAAAACAAAAAAAACCCCACAATATAAAGAGCTGATTTCTGATGGTACACAGAGCTTAAAGCATGTTAAAAGATAAATTACAAACACTAATTTCTTATTATTTTGTTATTAAAGAAACTGATTTCAAACTTCACATTTAGGACTTCGTAAAACTCCCATATTTACATTTTCAGGTTAATAATCCTGCTGAAGTCAAATTCCTGACAATTTTGTAAGTACAGACTACCAAAACTATTCCTTGAACTATATCCCTTCTTGTAAAACAAATGACAGTTAATACTAAATTTAGTGGTTTTACATAATTATTTCCAGATATGGTATCTTTTATAACTTGTCCATTTGTTTTTTTATAACATATGATTTCTACATTTATTTTGGTGGTATATGACAAAGAGCATTCAATGAATGAATAAATGAATACTAAAAATAATGGAAGAGTTGCAACTTAACCTCAAATGATTCTGATCTAGCCCAAGCAGTAAAGACTTGCCATCTAATGATGTATATAAACATCACCTCCTGGAAATTATTCAGCAAATGACATGAAGACACAATACGACTAATAATGTACCTTATCAAATGAACATCTCTATTTTCAAAATTAAGACCAGATCCTTTAGTTAGTCCATATTTTGAGGAGTGATTAGATAGGAGACTGGTCCATTTAATGAAAAACGAAGCCACCATATACAGGGATTTTTTTTTTTTAAGTTTATTTATTTTGAGAGAGACCACGAGCAGGAGAGGAGCAGAGAGAAAAGAAGAGAGAATCCCAAGCAGGCTCCACGCTGTCAGTGCAGAGATCACTGGGGAGCTCAATCCTATGAACCATGAGATCATGAGCAAAAATCAAGAGTTGGACACTTGATCGACTGAGCCACCCAGGTGCCCCCAAATATAGTTTTTAAATCCATTTTTTTTTTCCTGGAAGTAGGAGTGGGGATGGAAGTAGTTATATGTGGTAACAATTTGTATGCATTAAGAAATTTCTGCAGACAGTTAACCTTCTCCAGTGTTTTTCAGAAGCACATATGTGGGCAAGTTGAACAAAGGTGCTGAAGCTACAGAACTGTTAACAAGTGGCCCTCTAACAACCTGACCAGATTCACCTGTGAGTATTTTTAAACTCCTAGGCTTCACCTCTACTTGGCAGTCTCAACAAGACTTAATACATTCTACTGTAAATGAAAAGGCCTTAAAGAGGTCTCAAAAATCACAGTGACAGGCAATTGAGACTACCCAGACAAATGGTAGATTAATTATGAAAGATTAATTAGAAAGAACCATGGTTACTTTGTGTAGTTATCCAAATAGCTTTTGTTATTAATTTGCAAGAATAATTTTTTCTCAAGAATTATTTTTAGGATCAGAATACTCTGAAAAGGTAACAGTGCCAAAAAATTTCCTTATAAAATTCTCATATAGTTATAATGTTAGTAGGTATGAACAATATAATAATTCATGCAATTGTTATATTGACAAATAAGATTAATATGAAGCTTGGAAATTTTTCAGTGTTTTAAGGGATTTTATTTATTTTTGGGACAGAGAGAGACAGAGCATGAACGGGGGAGGGGCAGAGAGAGAGGGAGACACAGAATCGGAAACAGGCTCCAGGCCCTGAGCCATCAGCCCAGAGCCTGATGCGGGGCTCGAACTCACGAATCGCGAGATCGTGACCTGGCTGAAGTCGGACGCTTAACTGACTGCGCCACCCAGGCGCCTGGTGTTTTAAGGGATTTTAAAATGCCCTTAATGCTGGGACAATAGACACTGGAAATCAAACACCAAGTTTTGGGGAGCCTGGGCAGCTTAGTCAGTGAAGTGTCCAATTCCTGATCTCAGCTCAGGTCTTGATCTCAGGGTCATGAGTTCAAGTCCCACATTGGGCTCCAAGTTTTGATGTCAGAAACCCTCTAAGTTCTGCTGCTGTTTGCAGAGCAAGGCTATGATGCTAAAGTATGATTAAGGCAAAATGGTGACAAGATAGTTTTCTCATATAAGGTAGGTATCTTTAGAAAGTTAATTTTTGTGTTTGTTTTCAACAATAAATCCATTTTGGCTTACCAAATTCTTGGCCTGCTGTGTTGTGTTTTGAAGAAACTTCTTCATTGTACCCATGGAAGAAAAATTCCATGGGATTGGCATTTAAAAACTGAATTTACAAGTGCTATGCTGGACTCTTCTATTTATTACAATTCAGTCAGCAGCAATGCTAAAAGTGGTATGATTCTATGAACCTAACATTGCTTTCATTGAGATGATATAAATAAAATCCACAAAATCTTATTAATCTTTTCCCTTCAACTTGATGACAAAATAATTTTGTGTTCTTTTTACAAATGGCTAACACATATATAATTTTGATTTTCATGAAAATGGAAAAATTTATGTTTAATAATTATAATCCTCTTCAGATGAGAACACCAAAGACTGAAGAATATTATAATCCTTGTTTTCTAAACTTCCTTCTTCCATTTTCCCCATTCTAAATTTCAGTAGGCTTTTAATATTGTCTGACAACCTCTTTCAGCATTCACTATAAACAGCAGCTGGAATAGCTTGTTCTCCTGCTGTTCAGCCAGCTATTTCTTACATTTAGAAGAAACACATAGGGGTCCAGAACTAGATGAATACATTGTTTAATCTTTGAGATCAAACATATATTATAAGGATATTATTAAGAACTAACTTTTTAAAAATAGGAGCAAAGTAATATCCTATCAGGGTTTTCTTTTTTTTTAAGTTTACTTAGAGAGAGAGCCATGAGTGGGGCAGGCGTGGAGAGAGAGAATCCCAAGCAGGCTCTGCAGTGACAGTGGACTTGAAGTCATGAACTGTGAAATCATGACCTGAGCCAAAAATCAAGAGTCAGACGCTTAAGTGAGTTACCCAGGTGCTCCTCTATCAGATTTTAATCATTTATTTCCTCCGAACTCTTAAATAACAGATTGGTGGGGCGCCTGGGTGGCGCAGTCGGTTAAGCGTCCGACTTCAGCCAGGTCACGATCTCGCGGTCCGTGAGTTCGAGCCCCGCATCAGGCTCTGGGCTGATGGCTCAGAGCCTGGAGCCTGTTTCCGATTCTGTGTCTCCCTCTCTCTCTGCCCCTCCCCCGTTCATGCTCTGTCTCTCTGTGTCCTAAAAATAAATAAACGTTGGAAAAAAAAAAATTAAAAAAAAAAAAAAAAAACAGATTGGTTAGGATATCCAAATTGGAAATTCAAGGAAAGATGTATGAATGATTATGAGTTATACCCTAATACTTTTGTTTGTTTTGCTCCTGCCTACATTAAAGTAGAATCCGTGAGAGACATTAAAAATGTTCCTGTGAATGTAATCGCTTTCCTATAATACTTGTCTCTTAAATACAAAGCCACATGACTGAATATGCACAAAGTAAGGATGACCAAGGTGACAGAAAAAATTGCAACCATTTCAAAGTCAAGTGTGAAGTAACTAGCAATTATTCATTCTGTCATTCCTCTCTGTTAGTAAAGTTGACTATACATAAAAATATAAACATTCATGAACACAAATTAACTAAACTGGAGTGGGAGATGACTGGGACCAACCAGATGGCTTCACTTTCTTTTTTAAAATTTATTTATTATTTTTTAAAATTTATTTATTTATTTTAAGAGAGAGAGAGAGAGAGAGAGAGAGACAGAGAGAGAGAGAGAGAGAGAGCAGAGGAGGGGCAGAGAGGGAAGGAGAGAAATTCCAAGCAGCCTCCACACCATCAGCCCAGAGCCAGTTGTCAGGCTTGAACTCAAGAACCATGAGACCATGATGTGAGCTGAAATCAAGAATCAGAAGCCTAACCAAATGAGCCACCCAGGTGCCCCAGATGGCTTCACTTTCAAGTTTATGAGGCTAGGATTCATTATGAAAATACATTAAAAAAAATTTTTTTTTGATGTTTATTTTTGACAGAGAGCTCAAGGAGGGGAGGGACAGAGAGAGAGGGAAACACAGAATCCAAAGCAGGCTCTAGGTTCTGAGCTGTCAGCACAGGGCCTGACGTGGGGTTGGGACCCAAGAACTGTGAGATCATGACCTGAGCCAAAGTCAGAAGCTTAACAGACTGAGCCACCCAGGCGCCCTTGAAAATACATTTTTAAAGTATAAATTTACTTGAAGACTAAAAATTACCAATCCTGATATAATATTATGGGTTATAATAAATACAATTTGGAAATTACAATGGATATTTTCATCAAATTTTAGAACTGTTTTATTTTCCCAATAATATTAACCTTTTGTAAAAAGACTTGCTGACCTGTCAGAGTTTAAGAAATCACTAACAATTAAATAAATCCCATGGAGTACTAGATAAAGTAGAGTTATCCAAGTGCTTGACCACAAAGTGATGTTGAAGTTGATCTGGAAAATTACTTTGCACCTCTTTAAGATGCTCACTTCCCTACTGTAAGTCCTCTCCAAAACTCAAACTACTACTCAGCTTCTATTTTAAGATAGACCATTCCAAACATACTCTCAAATTCAATTTTAAAAATTTATCTAGCTCTTGGTATGATGCTATAATATACAGATTTAATTTTATTAATTTTTTTTATTATTTATTTTTGAGGGGGAGAGAGAGAGAGAGAGAGAGA